TTGTGGTCACGCAACCTCAGATAGTGTCCTTCAAGCCCATCTCAAGGAACAACCTTGTGGTCACGCCACCTCAGATAGTGTCCTTCAAGCCCATCTCAAGGAACAACCTTGTGGTCACGCAACCTCAGATAGTGTCCTTCAAGCCCATCTCAAGGACCAACCTTGTGGTCACGCAACCTGAGATAGTATCCTTCAAGCCCATCTCAAGGACCAACCTTGTGGTCACGCAACCTGAGATAGTGTCCTTCAAGCCCATCTCAAGGACCAACCTTGTGGTCACGCCACCTCAGATAGTGTCCTTCAAGCCCATCTCAAGGACCAACCTTGTGGTCACGCAACCCCACATAGTATCCTTCGAACCCACCTCTACAAACAAGCTGGCCATCACCGAGCCAACCCTGTGCTACTTTGACCCAGACATCACTGAAGCAGGCATTAGGTAGGCAGGACCACCTTTGTACTCAAACCAGCTTTTTGTTTCAAAGGCTTTATAACTACATTAAACACAACATAAAGCTGTACTGTAATCACACATGGAGAGTATTTCCTCTCTGTTTTTTAAGAACATATAAGTATATTACTAATTTGACTAACAGTCAGTGCTGTCATAAGCAGATGTTGTTTGGTTATTTTGGCTCAAGGCATAACACACCAACTCTGTGCATCTATTTTTTGTTACTGTCAGTTTTAGCATTTTTGGGATCAGGTCAGACCTTGTATAGGACAGACAGTCTGGCATCTTACTGGATTTTTCAGCACGTTTGATAACAGGTCAGCGTTTGATTGTAACACATGTTTCTCACAGCACCAAGCCGGAGTTGCTGAAGGAAAAGGAAGATGTGGACACGTAAGATATAAAATCTTTTATTTTCTAAACACTACGCACTAGCCCCACACAGGTAAACACACCTGTCACTGGTACCAAATACCATCCATAAAGGTAGCAGGCATGCCTTTGTTACATTTGTATCTTATTGAGGCTGATATATTTGTTACTAAGCTAAACATGCCTGTCCTTGGTGCTGAACACCATCCACACACAGTTCACCTATCCTTGCTGTTGAACACCATCTACACAAGCAAACACACCTGTTATTGGTGTTGAATGTTCACATGGGTAAACACACCTGTCCCCTAATTTCTTGCTTTCAATAAGAATTGCTTGTTGCCAGGGGAATTCCCTTGCTTTAGAAGTGTAACTCCAACCCCCACCACCACTTTCTAGGTACTCCAACGACTGTGGTGACGGCTCCCAACCAGACCAGTTCTACATCATCGAGCTGGAGGCTGAGCTTACTGCAGCAAGACTGTAAGTATTGATATTGTTCAATTCAAACACAGACATACAGTTAGCAGATTTCTGTTAGGTTTCAAGATTTTCCCCCATAAAAAGGTCCTTTGGTCCCAGTGATATATCCTTACATTAAAGCTTGTTTATTTTGATTTCTTGCAGCTCGAACACAATTAAAGATGAAGAAATTCAAGATCTCAGATCACAGAATCTCAAGTAGGTCTACTTATGGTGGTTCTTTATGTTTCCTCACTGGTAAACCTGATCTTTGATGTCCTGACAGTGTTTTCATCAGGAGTCTACTTTCAAAACCTTTCTCTAATAATAATCATCATGAAGTGAAAATAAGTGACTGTTTTTTTCTTCAACAAATACTGGCTTCATCATTCTTAGACACCTCTTGCTCCCTTCGCCTCACTTTTTGACAGTTATTTTCCATTTTTCCCTTCAGGCTGACTGTAGAACTCGAGGAGGAACAAATGAAGTAAGTAAAACTGCTGCCAGTTATTTTGCAAGTTTGTTGCTGTCAAAGGGCCTCTCAGCTGTAGTTTACTTTCCCACTGTTGAGTTCTGAACCAGGACAACTTTGTGAGCAGAGATGGGTCTCAGCAGGGGGTTATGTTGTTTGACCAATGGTCTGTGTCCTGTGCATTGCTATGATTGATTGTGTTTAGTTTGGTCTCCTATAGTAGAACATGTGCCTGTCACTGGTACCAATACCATCCACACACAGGTAGCAGGCATGCCTTTGTTACATTTGTCTCTTATTGAGGCAGATATATTTGTTACTAAGCTAAACATACCTGTCCTTGGTGCTGAACACCACCCTCACACAAGTAATGAACCTGTCCTTGCTGTTGAGCATCATTCAAACAGGCAAACACACCTGTCTTTGGTGCTGAACACCATCTATACACAAGCAAACACATCTGTCCTTGGTGCTGAACACCATTCATAAACAAGCAAACACACCTGTCCTTGGTGCTGAACACCATTCATAAACAAGCAACACAACTGTCCTTGGTGCTGAACACCATCTATACACAAGCAAACACATCTGTCCTTGGTGCTGAACACCATTCATAAACAAGCAAACACAACTGTCCTTGGTGCTGAACACCATGTTCACATGGGTAAACACACCTGTCCCCTGTAATTTCTTGCTTTCAATAAGAATTGCTTGTTGCCAGGGTGATTCCCTTTCTTTAGAAGTGTAACTCCAACCCCCACCACCACTTTCTAGGTGCTCTAACGACTGTGGTGACGGCTCCCAACCAGACCAGTTCTACATCATTGAGATGGAGGCTGAGCTTACTGCAGCAAGACTGTAAGTACTCAGCAATTTTCACAGCAGATTTCTGTTAGGTTTCAAGATTTTCCCCTATAAAAAGGTCTTTTGGTACCAGTGATATATCATTACATTAAAGCTTGTTTCTTTTGATTTCTTGCAGCTCGAACACAATTAAAGATGACACCATACAAGAGCTGAGATCACAGATTCTCGAGTAGGTCCACAATCATAGTTCATTATATTTCCTCTCACTTAAACCTGATCTTTGATGTCCTGACAGTGTTTTGATAAGGAGTGTCTCCTTGTTGAACTCGTTTTTTCTCAAATACTGGCTTCATCATTTGTAGGCACCTCTCGTTTCTGTAGCTTCACTTCTTGACAGCTATTTTCTATTTTCCCCTTCACGTTCAGGCTGACTGTAGAACTCGAGGAGGAACACAAGAAGTAAGTAAAACTGCTGCCAGTTATTTGTCACAAGTAATGCACCTGTCCTTGGTGTTGAGCACCCTCCACACAAACAAAAACACCTGTTCTTGGTGCTGAACACCATCCATACACAAGCAAACACACCTGTCCTTGGTGCTGTACACCATCAACACACAAGCAAACACACCTGTTCTTGGTGCTGAACACCTTCCACACAAGCAAACACACCTGTCCTTGGTGCTGAACACCATGTTCACATGGGTAAACACACCTGTCCCCTGTACTTTCTTGCTTTCAATAAGAAATTGCTTGTTGCGAGGGGTGATTCCCCTTCTTTAGAAGTGTAACTCCAACCCCCACCACCACTTTCTAGGTACTCCAATGACTGTGGTGACGGCCCCCAACCAGACCAGTTCTACATCATCGAGCTGGAGGCTGAGCTTACTGCAGCAAGACTGTAAGTACTCAGTAAACTTAATATAATTCAATTTAAACACAGACATCTGGTTAGCAGATTTCTGTTAAGTTTTAAGATTTTCCCCTATAAAAAGGTCCTTTGGTCCCAGTGATACATTTGTATATCATTACATTAAAGCTTGTTTATTTTGATTTCTTGCAGCTTGAACACAATTAAAGATGACGACATTCTAGAGCTGAGATCACAGATTCTCGAGTAGGTCCACAATCATGGTTCATTATCTTTCCTCTCTCTTAAACCTGATCTTTGATGTCCTGACAGTGTTTTGATCAGGAGTGTTGAACTTGTTTTTCTCAACAAATACTGGCTTCATCATTTGTAGGCACCTCTCGTTTCCTTAGCTTCACTTCTTGACAGCTGTTTTCTATTTTCCCCTTCAGGCTGACTGTAGAACTCGAGGAGGAACACAAGAAGTAAGTAAAACTGCTGTCAGTTATTTGGCAAGCTTGTTGCCATCAGCAGGGGTTATGTTGTTTGACCAATGGTCTGTGTCCTGCGCATTGCCATGATTGATCATTTTTAGTTTGGTCTCTTATAGTAGAACTGGTGCCAACTTTTCTAAAGTCAGAACAAGTTACATAAATGCACGGGTAGTTTATTTATTGCTGAGTGTCACTATGAGATCAACAAATCATCTCTCTGTTTTTACATGCAAATAGAAATTCCATGCAATAGCTATCAAATCCCAGACCTGGCATGGTTGACACCTTCTTTTACATTTCTGCCTTCCTCTTTTAACACAGCCAAAAATCTTCCTCCAACAGAGTTGCCTGTCAAACTATTGATTTGGAGGCCATGAAGGCCTGCCAGGAGTCCCTTGAAGAGCAACTGAACAACACAAGTGTCACTATGGACATGACTGGAGAAAAGCCTAACATTAGGCACAGCCTCTCTTCTACAGACTATTCTACAGACTGGGAAGAAGAGTCCTTGAGTTCTACAGACTATTCTACAGACTGGGAAGAAGAGTCCTTGAGTTCTGCAGACTATTCTACAGACTGGGAAGAAGAGTCCTTGAGTTCTGCAGACTATTCTACAGACTGGGAAGAAGAGTCCTTGAGTTCTGCAGACTATTCTACAGACTGGGAAGAAGAGTCCTTGAGTTTGAGGATTTGAAAACGCGCCTAGCAATCCTTGAGTCAGGCGGCTTCTGGTACTACTCATAAGTTCATCTCTTTGACAAGGTCAACTCACAAGGATCCAAGAGCAAAAGTCATCCAAACATACATTCCACAGCAACAACCTTTGGAGATCATACATGGGAGGTACAAAGTGGAGACGTTTCTTCCCACTGGAGAAACCTACTGGACAACCTTTGAGGTTGAGGGAAGAGCCACCCCTGCTACAGTAACGTATTACATAGTGTCCATGATCACATAGTGGTCCAGTACTTGTAGTCACCAGGTCACAAAGGATTCATGTTTTGTAAAATTCCCTTCTCTTTGTCAGTTACAAGATATCCTATTGTTTTTGTGTAGATGTTTTCAGGGTTACAAGTATTCTCCTTTAGGCCACATGCAAGTGTACTTAATGTGAGAAGCACAGGTGAAGACGAAAGGGCAGAATGCGATAGGGTGGAGGTAAATGGAATACCAGATGTTTGTTTAAGTGCAGTGATGTAGGTGTGGTTGCTGCCCAAGAGCAGTTACCACAGTAACAATATGAAATGAAATGTGAAATGATCCACACATGGAAAACTGAAAGTCCTTAATGTTGTCGTAAGGATGTCATTTGTACATGTACCAGTTGTACATTTGTAGGTCTGCTTGACCATTCATTTAGAGTCACCCAGGAAAATGTCAAGTTCTTCCATTTCAATTCAATTGCAGTATTGTCCATTGTTTTGTACTATACTATTTTTTTTTAATTTATGCCTTTTTCATTTTTGGCTTTTCTCAGTTCCTGATGATCGGTCGGTCCCCAAGTGTTCTCACTCTAGAGTGGCAAATGTTCAAAAGTGTGAGTCTGGCAGCAGTGTTCACTGGCTCAGCCTACGCCAACTTCTCCCACAAAAATATAAAAAATTACAAAAAAATGGAGTGTTGGACATAATGTGCAATGCTGTTGTCAGGCTGTGGTTGGCAGATGGGTTAGATATATGTTGATGGAGAGATGAGAGACCCTTGGTGGATGGACTTTCTGCAGGAATCATTTCCCTTCTAAGTACTAAAAATGATAGGTTTATTATACCTGATAGATCACTATAATTGCCATTTACACATCAAACAACTTGAAATCACTCCCACTCCTACTGATTTGAAGTCATTGTGATAATGTGTACATTTCATTCTTTGTAGTGACATGGACTTTCAATATGGAAAAGAAACAACTGCATGGTGGATAAATTCAATAACTAATGTATTGTGATGTTTTAATGAAATTGTAAGAGGAAAGTGAAATGGTATTGAGCCTGTCGGTGTACAAATGTACCTATTGTTTGAAATAGTGCCAGACATTGTCACTTGTACAGGAGAAATTAGTACAATGTACCTTGTAAAAATTACCATATACGATCCAAGTATATTTACATGTATCTGTGTTAGTAAAGGCACAAATATTATCTATATGATATGTACATATGACATTTTATGTCAGTATTATATATTTGTATATTTGTATACATATATATGACCTAAAAATACATTATGAAAGATGTATATTTTTTCTAAGAATTCTGTGCTGAAACCAATTGTCCAATACATATTCTATGTGATCTTACAGACATGTTTGTCCTGATTGTTGTCGGCTTTTCTCAAATCCTATAAGCCGGGGTATGGGTATAAATAGTTAAGTAAAACGTTAAGTAAAACTACATGGTCCTTGCTGATTGTGTGGCCTAGTATACTCACAACTGGCGCCGGCATATTTAATACAGTCGAACAATGAACACATTTCTTCGTATCCCAGGGGTGAGGTAGGATAGCTATAGGACACCAACGTGGTACAGTGAGCACCAGAGACGTTAAAGCACACATATTTCACGAATATAATTCGGACCGTCCCGAACGCTACCTGAACGCCCGCCAACCATGGTTAGGAGTGGGTCGGCGAAGAGTCGGTTGGCGTTCGGCTGATTAATTCGGCTGCGCCAGCCGAATGTTTCAACATGTTTAAAACATTCGGGAGGTGTGACCATGGTCAAACGCACGTACGTAACGTAGGGTTCGAACATAAGTCAGCAAAACACCTGCAAACCATTCCGGGAGTAAGTCAGCAGTGTTAGGGGCGTGTTCAGGGATCAAATTTGGCTGCAATTTAAACGCAAATTCGTTTGTCATATTCAGAAAGTAGGCGTGGCCTAAATCTGGTCAGAGTGCTCCCGAGCAGGTCGGCTGGTGTTCGGGAGTTTGTGAATGTGTGACAGGGGCTTAAGGACAGACACAGTTGGAGAGAACAGCTAGGCCCTGGCCTTACGTCTCGCCTGGAACCAAGAGGATGTATAAGTACAGTAAGTATGGCTCAAATCAATAACACTTTTGGTAAATTATTCGCCCATTTGGACAAGTTCTGTCGTATTTTCTACAACTGAACAGTCTGGGAAAGTAAGTAACTCTCTCCAATGCCAACTTCCCATGCGTTAAAGTTGTCGGAAGTATAAGTGTATTTCGTCATAACCATATCATTGTTATGGCGTCACAATAGTGATCCAGAAATGCCGTCACCACATGAAACAAACAAACAAACAAGGGTAAACATGGACGCTCGTCTGTACGACAGCCTTCTCGGTGCGGACGTGGAGCACGCCTGGTCATTGGTCGGTCCGCAGGTGGTTCAAGGGTTGCTAGGTAAAGACGCTATTGCAGTGTCTTCACTGGAGCATGCAGCTGCATTCGATCTGTTGGCGGTTTTTGTCAAGGTCAAACCGCGGAGTGAGAAGGTCATGGTGAAAAGTAGCAGGTTTAAGCTATTGGGGAGCCTTCCGGACCTGTGTAGTCCAGCCCCAGGCGGATCTAAAGTGACCAAGGCCGCGCAGAAATGGGCGTGGTTCCAGTGCCCTTACCTTCTCAACATGGTAAGCGTGATTTCATGGGCGACAACCACATACTGAGTACTGATTTTGACTTGTTTTCGGAAGAGGGGGGATACCGGTCGTTTCTGACATATCGTAGCCTCGCGTAGCGTTACGTTACGTTTTCCAAGTACTAAATGTGCAGGAACCTAAATACAAAATCCACGATCTCATGATTTTACATTTTCAAACGTTTAGGCAATCATTTGTATGATTCTGGATTCCGTTTAACGCGCGATGTAACGTTACATTTACATCGCAACCGAGTTGTCCTCGTGTTCCTGTCCAGGTGAGTTGGAGTAAGGAGGAGCCGAAGGAGATTCACGTGAGGATCCAAGGCGTGAGGAAGTTCTCAGCACAACTAACTTTCAAGAAAGGCGACCTGACTCTCATTCCTTGGCTGTACGGACTGCAGCACGAGAGACACGTCTACGTCATCACCGACGTGTTTCGCGCGGATGACGTCAGTTTAGAGGTGTCGGTGGGCGGCAGGACGGACCGGCTGGTTTCCCCGCAGCAGCGACCCCTGGCGTTTAAGTGGAAGAAGTACAGGCTGTCGCGGTCGCGGCCTGGACTGCTGAAGGAGCCTTGGGTTCCCGTAAAGCTTAGTAAGTACCAGAGTTCAGAGTTCATCTTGTGTCGGCCTCACGGGCACCGCAGGGAGACAGGAAGAGGCGAGGGAAACGGCTCTGAGAGAGAACTTATACAGAGAATGCCGAAAAAGGCGTCCTCGGAGGTACATCTTGGGTCCGAGGACAGCGCCATGTGGGCCGTCCGGCAGACCAAAAGCGCGGGAACCCTCACGGAGGGCTCAACGTCCGCGGAGGGGGGCATGCGCACTAGAGGCAGACACGATCTACAACTGGAAGACATGGAAGTCGAGGACATGACCTTGGAGTAAAGTTTTGGATTATTCTCATATCACCGACATTTGGGGTGGTAAGTTGTATGGGATAGACGTCGGGAATAAATGAATACATGTATGTATACAAAGTGAATACGTCCGCGGCTGCTAGTTCTATCGCTTAGTATTCACATGGAGGTAAAAAAATCACAAATGACACATTACAGTAAAACGCACAACAGATCAAGAGAAATATTTATTACTGAAGAGAATCATACATTTTTACAATGCAGTTGTCTGACTTGTGGAATGTTTCTACAGCTGCGAAACACGCTATATCATACAATGCATACTTTTAAATTGTCATTCGCATCTGAACAACTAACGTTATACCCTTGTGTACGCAAATATATACAACTCGTGTGTATCACTACTGAGTGAATGGGCACATATGTCGAGTATGACTAGAAAATGAAAACATGTCTTCTTTACTTCGTGAAAAATGTCAACCTACAAGATCAAGACTACGCAATAGCTGTCGACACATCTTTACAAACGTCATCCACGAATAAAGCAGAATTTGCTGCTGATTTTGCCTGTTTCGAATCACATATACCTGTACTTTTCCACACAGTGTCCCTTATAACACGCCACCGCTATGTACCCGTCCGGAGTCAGCGCGAGTCCGTGAGCGCTTTCCCCTGTGACTGTCGCGACATTTCTGATAAAAGTCCCGTCAGGCCCGAACACCTGGACACGACCGTCCCCTGCGTTACCTACGACAATGTTACCTGTCGGGTCTAACACTACACCTGCCGGATCTTGTAACAGGCCATCGCCATGACCTTCCCTGCCAAAGCTAAGCATCGGGTTTCCTTCAAGGTCATATGCAAATATCTTATGCGCAAACCGGTCTGTGACGTATATCGCACCGCGTGACTCGTCCACCGCTATGAATGATGGGAACTGTAGTTGTCCTGTGCCGATGTCCCGAATGAGGCTCCCGTCATGCTCCAGGAGAAGACAGCGCTGCTGAGCTGAGTCCGACACCACCATGCGGCCGTCCTGCAGAACTGCAGCTCCAGATGGGCACCAACAATCACGCTGGATATCGATACTGTTCAAAAGTTCGCCTTCTTTTGAGTAACTTCTTATTTCGCATTCCCCCAACGACGTCACAAGAATTCTTCCTTCAAAGTCCACTTCGAGGCCGAACGGACCCTCACCGCCGACAGGGAAGCCCCTCAGACAGACACCTGTCTCTCCATCGAACACCTGAACTCGCTTGTTCTCCTGTTCCACCACTACAATGTTACCATCTGTATCAACCGCGACGTCTAGCGGCTCGTCCAGTTCCCCTACCCCACTACCCTTCCGACCGATAGTTAACACAGGTGTCTCCCTCTCTTGTACTTTAACATCAAAAGGACTTCCCTCCACCTGTTGCGAGTTTACCTTTACCTCTAAGCTATGGTTGCCCGTGACCTTGGGCATGTAGGATATTTCCCACACGCCCCCGCTCTTCATCTGTAGTTTGGGTGTAACGTTAATTCCGGAAGGGTCCTTCATGTTGGCTGTCACGGCTTTTCTGTTTGTGACACACGGACATCCGCCTCTGTCCACTGTTGTCAGTACGGCAAAACACTGAAACCCCTGAACTGCCGGCTTCACAATAACGTCGCACTTTGAAACGTCGACGTCAGTCTTTAAACCACCAAAGTTCTCAACTTCATCCGCAAACGCCGTGGCAGCGGTGTTCTCTTCGAACTGAAACTCGCTCCATTTGGACTCCAGGTCCAGTTTTTTAGTCAGCAGAGTTTCTATTCTTGTTTGGACTTGGTTTCCCACCTCCAGAACTTGCACGTCACTTCCGTGTTCCACAGTTTGTTGACAGAACGTTTGTGCGCTCGTCAGTCCGGCCAACTCAAATTCCATCGCGTCCTTCTTGGCCTGAAGAGTCTTGCCATCGGCTTGGCACTGTTCGTCAATCTGGATCAAAATCTCTTTTTCCCGCTTTTGCAGCAGGTGAACAAGCTGACCGAAATACGCCTGGGTTTGGACGGTGGCTACTTCTTTTGCGGGGATCAACTTTGACATCGTCTTCTCCACTTCCTTGACAGAATCCTGTATTTCCTCCAGACGCGGGTCTATGCCTTGCAGAAGACGTCGCAGCATTTCCTTCTTCTTCTGAGCGACGGTAGTGATTTCCTCCAGATTATGAGCTCTGCCCGGTTTGTGGTTGATCACGGCACACGATGTGCAAACCAACACGTTACAACTCTCACAGTAGAAAACCAGTTCTTGGCTCTTGTGTTTGTCGCAGTACCGTTTGCGATGAAGTTTCTCCATTCCTTCCTTTCCCTCCAACACGTCCTGTGGAACAAGTTCGTGATCTCTGGTAGCCGGAACTTTACGGTGCATGACGGTACAAGACTCACACAATAACATAGCGCAGTCCGTACACCACAACTTGGCCTGCTCTCGCCCTCCCTCGCATACCTGGCACGGCACACCTGGCTCCGCCCCTTTCTTCGCAGCCGCGAAATCCAACAGGTTGTTGACGTAAAAGTTGGTCTTGAGTCCATCCACACCTTGGTCGGGTAGACTGACCTCTTTGCGACATGTCGGACACTCTAGCGGCTGTTGTTTTGTAGACCAAAGCTGCAGACACTCCCTACAAAATGTGTGCAGACATGGCAGGATTCTAGGGTCCCGGAAGTGTAGCATGCAGACCGCGCACGTCAGGAACTCCTCGCCCAAGTCGCTCGCCATCTTACTCGCCATTTTGTATATAAATGCTAGTAGACAAAAAGGACAACAACTGCAAACTGTTTGCTGAGAGCCTTCATTTCATCTACAAGTTTCCTCACGACCACACTTGACGGTCTGCTTTAATACGTAAAGCCAAAGGGTAAAGGTAGTTTCGGTCACGGGACTGGTCGCGTGATCATAGGGAAGTACTACAATTGGCCGATGGTTTAGACTATTGTTAAGTACTAGTACAAACCTGGTTGGTCGTTTATAATTCTCCTCCTTTGAATTCAAATCAATGGAAATCTATTCTGGTATCTAGTCTTATTTGGTGGCTATGGGCCAAACTCACAACTGCCTGGTTGAGCCGGGTGGTGGGGGAACTTTGACAGCCCAAAGAGAGCCTGCCAGAAACATGATAGCCTGGACACCAGGCTACATGGTGGCCTACGGTACATGTATACACAAAATCTGCCATGAAATTTACAACAAAAAGAAGCAAGTGGATAGAATGAATCATTTAATTAAAAAGAAGTTTTAGTGTGCTCAAAATGATACTAATTATGCTTAGAAAATATCTACCTGACTAATCATAACTGCTGACAATAGATGGACCAGTCAAGTTTTGTAAAGATTTCAGATCAACATAGCTTTATTGCTGTCTCACTTTGTAACTGCAGCCAGAGAAAACAAAGTTTGACTAGCAATGTGATCAAATCATCCACATAGTACATGGCTTTATGTGCTTGTATTCATTTGTTAATAACATTAAAAGCAATGATGTCAATATTATCGCATTTTTCTATTCAGGCATCATTTGTGTAATTTAACATATAACATATAATGTTATATTTCATATTTTTTGGGGCAAAAAATCTAAAAGTAGGCCAAGAAGGATCATACATGTGAGAAAATATTGTTTTCAAATGAATGATTTGTGCAATTTTGTTCAATTTTTTTCTTTCATTGTCCTCCCTGTGCAATTGAAGGAAAGTCACATTCCCACAGGATTTGCCCCTTCTGTAATATCCCAGCACTTTAAGGTCAGCTTGGCTTCATGCTGCTGTTTCCACCATTTCCACAGCATAGTCTGAATTTGTTAGTCCCAGTCATCATCATCATTGTCGCCTGCATCGTTCCCGCCTGAAGGGGGTGCTGGGATCATCGCTGAGATCCGATCCATGGCTGACCCCCCTCCCGCCGGAGGGGCTGCCCTCTTCTCCTCATCCCCCCCTGCCGTTTTGCTCCCTGAGATGCCCTTCCTCCTCATGGAGAGTTTGGAGGCGAGGTCGGACATGAGGTCGCCACCAGAGGACACCGGCGCGGCCTTCGCCTCTCCCTTCTGCTTCTTCCTCATTGTTTTCTGCTCCTTTGCACTCTTCAGCTTCACCTTCCCAGCACCCCCCGCAGCCCGGATAGCAGCCATGAGGTCTGATCGCCCGTCTGATGATACTTCTGCCGGGGCATCCTTTGGTGGGGGAGGGGGCCTGCAGCAGGG